ATTTCATTAGGATTGCACACTGCTGGTAAGCCACTGGGATTCTGTTATGTACAGAAACAGCCCTTAAGTCCAAGGAAGCAGAAGTACATCACAAACACATGCTGACCTCTCCTCCAGAAAGACAGACTCTCTTATTTCTTTCTGAGGGGTCTTCTGAGCCCACCTGAGGGCCCTATTTACTTCCTTTTTACTTCCTGTCTTTCACCACACTGTCATTGAGTACCGGTGTATCTCTACCTAGATTACTGGAGCAGACATCATGACTTAAATGTATTGCCCCAGATTGCTAAGGCTAGTGTGTAGGTGTTTTAGACTGAAATCACCCAGGTGAAATGATGGCAGTGGTATGACTGATAACAAAACCATACATTTATGGCTGGTTTATTCTCTACCACTTTGATTTACTTAAAATGTTCATATTTTCACTGCTTTACCTATTAAACTGTCTTTATCACAACCCATGATTTTTCTCACTTTTACCTTTCTGATTCTCTCCCCTGTCCCACTGGGGAGGGAGTGAACAAGAGGCTGTGTGGGCTTAGCTGCCAGCTGGGGTCAAACCATGACAATATGTCATTTATATTAATGTAAGAATGATAACAACCAGTCATTAAGAGGGCTAAGTTCTCATCATTCCTCAGTGGTCTACCCTAAAAGCTTGTTATGAAACTAAACTTTTTTAAATGCATCCAAAGGAGACCATCCAAAATTATTAATAATAAATCCCTTTGTAACTATTATTAAGCAAACTAAGAGAAAAAATTTAGTCAAATAAAGTGTAGTCCTGAACAATCCACACCCCCCAAAAACAAATGAAAGAACAAATTAAGGGCTTTATTTATCAATTATGGAAGATAAGCATTTTGATTCCTTGTAGCCTATTAAGTGTCCACTGCATTTAAATATATCTAACACTTAGATACATTAAATAATAATGCATGGATGTTGCAAGGTAAACAGATCCATAATCGAGAAGACTGGATTCATACACGCTGTTAAAAGCATTGCCTGTTAGCAGAAATCAATTGTATGTTATATATTTTGCCCTATAAACAAAGCTTAGATTACTGATACCACTGCAGAACTGGAAGAGGTACCCAGTTACAAGCATGGAGTTACAGCAGCAGATCAAAAGGGGTCTCACCCCACTTCAACCAGAGTTAACTGGGCAGCTCCAAGCAGATCCCACAGGACAGAAGTGGTCATGGGCACTTACGACTACTGAGTCTTATTCCAAAAAGAGCATTCCCTTTGAATTACTTCTAAAAATGTGTTTCCTCTCTGGAAGTATGAAATCTCATATTCCTGTCAAGCAAATTCTGACTGTTTTACCTACAGTGCCACAGCTATTCTTGCATTTGGTTAGAGTTAGTGGAAGACATTACGCTGTCTTAGACAAAGTTAACAATAATACCCCCACCCCCCCCTCCTTTCTACAAACACTTTCTCCACACAAAGCAGCCTCCAGCCTACACAGGCAGGTAGGGTATAATAGCTGGATGCAAACCTAGGGAAAACTGTTGCAAATGGAAATATACTACAAAGAAGAAACACGGTAGCTGGAGACTCCCCACAATTATTTTCCATTTGACCTCCTACAAACAGTTGTCATCAGAGAGCTGTGTTAGCATTACCAGACTGTAATTAAGTCTCCCATATCTAACACAAAGGGAAAACCAAGCTGATCACTGAACGCAAACTACAAGACAGAGGGCTTTCATATGTTACGGGTGAGGAAGTGACTTGCTTTTTTAGCCCTCAAGTACACAGCCACTCCAGCACCAGATAGTTAAGACACTGCTTTCCCAAGAGCCACGCTCTTCCTTTCCCTGCCATGCTCCAGCAGTTGTAACCCCTGACACTCATTCGCATTCACTTAGACTGGGAAGGTAACTGTTTGTAGCTCAGCACCTGGCTCTTCACTTACACATGGCTCCCAGGAGGAAAATACTAATTTTCTTCTGTGTGTAAGCAAGTGCAGCAGAAAAAAAAAAATACCTATTTTATTACAAAAAGTGTATTTCTAGCAAACAAAAGGCAAATAAAAAACCAGCCTTGCATAAAGTAACCTCATTCACCTAAGCATTTTAAAATTACAAATATACACTCAGACTGAAACACACACATAGTGCCATTTAAAACTGGTAAAGAAAAAGGGATTTACAGAGAAAAAAATGGATTAATTTGCTTTCAGATGGATTATGCCACTGCTTTTTAATGTATACTGTGATTAACTTCTGCATGGGTATAGATAATACTGCTTCACCCCATCCTCAAAAATCCCAGGCAGCACTGTGATAGGCTTAGTTTCCTTTGTTAAAAATTTAAGAAAATCTGGGATCAATACAGCTTCCTCAGTAAGTATGACCAAATGAAACAGCAATTTTGCCCTGCAACAAAATGATACTGAAACTGAGAGGTATTTGTAGTTTAGGACAAGACAAAATATACATGTTCTACCTTTGTGGAACCACCACATCCACAGAATAAAAACTCCTTGGAATAAGCATTACAGACCAATATTGCAGAATAATAAAGTACAATAATACAAGAAAATCATTTCAGTTGGCAAGTAGTAGAGAGATCCCACCTTGCTTTTATAGCAAAAAAGCTCCACAAAGGGAGTGACTTCTGAACTCTCTCTCCGTTACTTTATTCATAGCAGTTCACAGCTTTATAAGGCTTGTTTCACGAGCAAAAAAAAAAAAAAAAAGGCTTTAGAGGTGAATAAATCCAAGGGTTGAGGTTTTATCCAAGCCTTCAGTAGTTGTTGTGGGTATTTCGGCCTTCTCCAGATTAAAATGAGGAGGCATGATTTTTATCAACAGAACAAGAGTTCTCCCATGTCACATGTGAATTTAATAGCAAACTCTATCAAATCAGAAAAATTGGATCACATTGCAGTGCTTACCAAGAAAATGTGTTTAGCCAGTAGTCAGGGTTCAGCAGAACAGCAGATGACAAGATAACATGCATCACCCTTATTTATTTATTTAAACTCCTAACGCACTGTGCTGGTTCTCCATCTCTTTTTCTCAAGCCTGTATAGCTTCAGGGATGATGTACAAAGCACATCAGGTGTTTCTCCCCTTGCTACTGCTACCAAGCATTAGGAATGGCACAACTCACTCAAAGCATGCTTCCTGCTTTCACCACATCAGCCAGCCACAGCAGAAAAATAGAAAAATCCCAAGGCAAACTTGTGTAAAATCATATATTTTAATTTAGGCTAACAAGAAATGATGGAATGACTCGATAGCACAAGACTACTTCCAGACAGCTTTTTGCTGAACGTCATCTATGCAGCATGTGGAAAGATAGGTTATTTCAGAATTGGCATTAACTAGACAGGCAACATGCATGTTTCTGTATCCATACAGCATGAAGGCCTCCAAATGCAGGTGACAGAAACTTTTTTAGTGCATTTGTAAACTTTTAGATGCAAAAATGATTCAACTTGCTAGAAAATTATGTATAGAAAGTGCTCTTCCAGGTACCTTGGAACCACTAGATTTCATAAACAAATTCAAGTTTCACATAGGAGTGTTATAATTGAGCTCTGAATATTTGACACTGTGTATCATTGCAAAGCCAGTTTTCCTTCCAAGTTCTTAAGCGAGATCACCTGTGTGTTTTGCAACAAGCAGGGGAGATGGGAAAGATCCCTGAAAAAGATCCATGAAAAAGAGCTACGGGCTGTTATTTTGCTTTATATTAAGTGACATTTTGCAAATGGCACCCTGCAAGTTGTGCCTTAACTCCTTGTTAAAATTCAACTAAAATCTATATTACCCCGCTTTATACACATGGGTAAAATACACAGTTGAAAATCTATGAAACATAAATTACTTGATTGCTTCTGAAGAATAAATCATTCCCCAGCAGATTTATAACAGACTGGTTTACTGTACATCCATAGGACCAGTAAGCTGGAGAGCTGAAGAAAGAAAAACTGTCTAAACTTTGGAATTGGGAAGTAAACCAGGCTGCAATGCTGCTTCTGGCTGGCCAAACTAATAATGTTTCATCTTTTTCTCAGTGAACACTAATATGTGACAGCAAATGATCCATTAGGTCTGGATCACAACGTTACTTTCCCCACTTATCCCTGGAATAACACTGTCTCGGACTGCTGGAGGAACAGAAATGCTATCAATTCACGTTAGCTCTACAGTTTTCCCTCACAGCACTCCTCTGCTGAGAAGCCAGGAGACGAATGAGAGCCATCACCTTGAAGGTAGCCAGTAATGAACTATGGAAAGATGTCCTGGAGCACAAGGGACCCAACTCTGTGGAGAGCTCTGTAGCTTTCCTGCATCCCTGACCAATTTCTCCATCAGCACTCTCTGCTGTGCTCCTTGCACTATGTACAACGCCTGTTTTGGAAGCTTTATCACTCACCATCCCATAGACACATAATACAAATGCACTTCACACATACATATGCACACACACTCGAGACACACATGTACATGCACACTCGCTCCCCGACATCACATGCAATTCTTCCTAAGTCCCCTGTGTATTGCTTAAAAACAGAAACCAAGCACACACACACCAACACTCTCCCCCAAACAAAACAAAAACCAACCCAAAACAAACAAACCAAACCCAAACCAGTAAACAAAACCAACAAAACACACAGAAAGGAGGAGGGAATGGGGGGGCAGAGGGGGCAAAGGAAAAAAAGAGCAGCGTTTTTTTTTTCCTGCTGTTGCTGTGGCTCCCAAGCATGCAGTGCTAAGGAAGAGTAGTTCCCCACTTTCATCAGCTAGCTACATCCTTGGGATGAAAGGGAGCAGACCGGAATGATGCTGAGGCTGCATAAGGGAAAATAAGGTTTTGCAAACATGCCTGACTCCCGGCGAAATTATATCCTCCACATCCCCTCCTCCCTAAAACCTACCCTGAACGGGGGCGAAAGAAAAAAACAAAACAAAACAAAACAAAACAAAAACAACAACACATAAGGAAAAAAGTGATGAAAAGACACAACTCACCTTAACAAGGGGTGTTGGATGGGGTCAGAGAGAAGGAAGGGTATATAAAAAGATCTATTTTTAGCAGAGGTTGTGATAGTATTGAAACACACAGACACAGGGTTTGGAAGCAAGGGAGAAGAGTATAAAAAAAACGAGGGGAAGAGAAATTATCAAGAAGGTGCAAGTCGGTCTGGCACGAGAAAGGAGAATCCCGGAGGAAAAAAATAAAAATAAAAGAAAAAAAAAAAAACAACAAAAAAACAACCACCAAAAGCCAAGAGGAGCAGGAAGGAGAGCGTGGTGGTGCTGGGTTTTGTTTTGTTTCCCTTCGCTGGGGGCGGGCGGAGGCGGCGGAGCGGGGGGGTCGCGCTTTCGGCAAGAAGCCCCTCGCTGCCTCCCCGTGACCTTCTCTCTGCCCGGCGGCTCCGGGTGGCCGGGCTCGCTCCTCGCCCGGCTCCGGCAGCGGCTGCGGCGGGCGCGGCACTCCGCTCCCGCGGCTCGCTGGGGCTCTGCAGCCGCGTTCACGCCGCCGCCGCTGCCGCCGCTGCTGCTCCTCGGCCACCCCCGCGCACCGCGCTCCCGCCGCCGCCCGCGGGCGCCCCCCGCCGCCCGCCACTACGGGCCGGGGCGCTGGGACGCTCCGGGGCAGGGGGGGGGACGGCAGCGGCGGGGAGCCACGGGAAGGGCTGTAGGGGGACGCACACCTCTTCGCGGTGGGTGCCGGACGCAGAGAGGGACCCGCGAGGGGGAAGTGTCGGTGCGGGGCACCAGGGACCCCGCTGTGACACACCCCCGGGACTCCGGTGTCCCTGCCCGGGGCCTCTGGGCGGGAGCCAGCTCGCTCTCTGGGATGTCGAACCCCCTCCCCTCGACCGGCGCCCGCGGGGAAGGGGAGCTTGAGTCTGGGGAGCGAAACTCGAGCACGCTGAAAGGCGACAGGCGTTTTATCGGTGGCACATAAGCGTCGCTCAGTGTCACTGAGAGAAGCCCCAGCAGCAAGCTGGGAGGCTGAGAACTGTACTTACTTTCATTAAAAGTAGTAAAACTGCATCCAGCTTTGCCTTTCATACTGAAGAGTGGCTTACAAGGAGCGGCGTCAGCAGATGATGGTCATTCGTGATCCAGCTGGTAGCTACTCGAAGGATTTTGTTGATAAGGACCATCAGAGGGTCACTTTGTCTTAAGCAGCTGCCAAAATCCAGCAAACATTTAGATGTTACGGAAACAACCTTTTACCGGGCTTAACACCCCCAGAAATACTCTCCAACTAAAAATAAACCCTGTGAAAGTTGTTTTTAAGCAGATAAATATAAAAACTTTGGAAGCCCTTTTGCATTTTCATTGTCTAGATTGAAACAAGTCAGGGAATGAAGTGAAGAATTTAAGTGCAAAGAAACGGGTTTTTTAAAAGTATTATATTTATCTATGGTGCTATTACCAACCATATGTAAACATGCCTGTTTATGACTTGTGATTCGGAATTGGCATTGTCCCATAAATGATGAGAGCAAATGCAGGTCAAGCTGTTGGATCCACAACTTGCAAATGATACACAAGCTGTGCTTCACCACCACTGTTACACTGAGATAAGCAGGAGTACATATAGTAAATAGTAGAAGGATATGCTCCTGTATGTAAATCGATGCTAAGAAAGAAAGACACTTCCTCACAATAGTACAATTTGTTGATGACTAGCAGTAGATGAAACTATGTGGAATGAGAGTTTGGATATACTGGGGTAGGCAGTGGTTGCTCCTAATTACTAGTAGCCTTGGTACCCACAGGGAGGACAGTGGAGGAACCAGCTGGCTACAAGAGGACTGCAGGCATAAAAAAGACATAACAATTTCATTATCCTGTATTTGAACTCTTTTTCCTCCTCCAGGAAAAAAAAAAAAAAAAAAGTGCTTCCTACAGGTTTACAGCAGAGGAACTGGAGGAATAATGAGCTTTCCAAATCTCTCATATGAAGTAGAAATAAAAGTATGTTGTTCCTTTAGTGAGCTTCTCACAGGAAGTGAGCTTCTCACAGGAGTCAGAGGAAGAAGATCTTCTTCTGTCTCAGTGCAGGTTCAGCTTCTGCCCATTTCTTCTCCAGTTTCCTCTGAGAACCCAATTGTTCAGCAGTCTAATGACTGCACCCAAGAATTTGCAGGGTTTGGACCACATTTCTCTTTTTAAAAAGTCAGGTATATATAGAATTATTCATAGCCACACAAAGGGGAGTAAAGACACTGGAAATAAGCTCTGTGCTGCTTGAAGCCTGGATTTCCACAATAACTAAGTTGGGACAATATCTTATAAATTAAAGTGGAGGCAATGTTAGTGAATATTTAATTTCAGTTCATTTTCAAGAAGCTGCATCTCAGTTAACGTGTATTTACATGAACTCTCATTGACTACTATTATTTACGAATCAATTTGCACTGTTGCAAAAGTGCCAATTTACTGTCTATCCAGGATGAGGGGCAAGGCTCTGAGCATTACCAGTTCTCTGAGCCACTCTATTCCCGGTAATATCAGGGCAGTTTTTATTGTCAATTATAACTCATGGCCCTACTGACTTTTCCATATTTGCACGGACCTATTATTTTTAATTCCACTCCTCTGGAAAAACAACGCCCTTTGATGAATGGCTTTATAGTTGGATTGTGAAAAGCACACACACTGGTGATATTCGGGAACACCTAAACTCAAAATGTTTAAATGCCAGCATATCTTTTTAAAACATACATTTCAGTTGTCATGTCACAGGCTCTGCATATTCCATATCTGATTTACAAGCCTAACTTGTCACACAAGTAATTTGCATGCTTGGAAAGAGTTTTACAGCTTGAACATACATTTAAATGGATGGAAATCATGACAAGGGTTAAAACTGGAGGATTTGATTATGTAAAGAGCTCCTGTAGAAATGGTTTTTCCAGAAGGCAGTATACCTACATTATAGATAATTGTCTAAATTGCTCAAATCCCAAAGGTAGTCAAAAAGGTTATTGAGAGAACAAGACAGAGCGTCCTAACTGACATAAACAAAATCACTCCTCACAGGTCATTATGTTGCTTCAGGGTATCACTGTTGCAACAAACAGTTAATGCTGGCCACCTTTCCTCTGGTTTTCATTCAGGCAGTCTAGAGGAAGACACATGTTGTGTTCGGTTCATTATGAAACACACAAATCATGTACTCTGACAGAGCAACAAAGAATCTTTGAAGCAGAGAGATAAAAACTTCAGTTTGGGTAATGAATTCAGTGGCCTTATGCTGAGAGGTATGAACCAGGTCACCATGAGCCCTTGCCTGCCAGCAGTTCTCTTTAAAATCTCTGCTCCAGGGTAGACTCAGGCAAAGAACAACTTGCTTCCCCCTCAACCTGGTGAAGATATCTGCAGATCTACCACTCCTGCTTTAGTACTGTTCCCCCAAAGCTATGCTATAGCCAACAAGAGATGAACCTTTGGTACAGCCTCACTTTGAGTACTGTGTGCAGGTCTGCATCCCACAGCTCAAGGTGGATGTGGAGGTCCTTGTATGCATCCAGAGGAGGGCAGTAAAAGAACTGGAAGGAATGAGGAACAGCTAAGGACATCGGGCTTACCTACTTTGGAGGAAAGGAGGCTGAGAGATAACCTCATTGCTCTCTGCAGCTTCTTGAGGGGAAGTGGAGGAGGAGTTGCTGAGCTCTTCTCCCTGGCATCCAGTGACGGCATGTATGGAAATGCAAAGCTGCATCACAGGAGGTTCAGACTGGACATTAGGAGGCATGTTTTTAATGAGAGGAAGGTCAAGCACTGGAACAGGCTTCCTGGAGAGGTAGTCGATGCCCCAACCCTGTTACTGTTTAAGAGGCATTTGGATAGTGTCCTTAATAGCATGCTTTTACTTCTGGTCAGCCAGTTGGACTATGTGATCATTGTAGCTCTCTTCCAACTGAAATACCATGTTTTCTCTTCCTTTCCCTTCCCTTCTGTTCCCTTTCCTTCCCATTTTCTTTCCCTGCCCTTTCATCTCTTCCTTTTATTGTTTCAATTTATTTGAGGTACTCTGACTGTCCCTCTTGTCTAGACTTTTGTCTGCTTCACCCAAGAATGGTTAGGTCCACGTCTCATGCCCAGGTGTGATGGAAGTCCACTCACCACTTCACAGGTTATGGGAACTTTAAATAGATCGTGTCAAAGTATTCATTTAATACACTCCCAAATTTAATATGGATGTGCAAGTAATAAGTAATACTTCAAGATGGTTGGGAAGTCCAGAAAGAGATCACATATATGCCAATTACTTCACACTATGCCTTTTGAAAAATTATCTCCTGGTTATCTATTACTGTGTAAGGGCCTTGCAACGCAAGATAGAAACTTAGGTTCAACGGGGTTTAATAGTATGATTTACTGCATTGATGAAAGAAGCTATTTCACAAGGGTGCAATGTTAGAGTTCCAAAAATGTGACAGGGAAATAATGATAAAACAGGCTTTTAAACCGAACAAATATCAAACAACACTGAAATGAAACACTTCAGGTTAGATAACCAACCTAAATAATCTTATGATATTGTATATTATTGATAGTTTTGTTAACATTTTCATGCATTTTAAACTTACTATCAAAAGCTTCTTTTAAAAGGTTTGTATTATACTATCTACATGTCTTTAAAATTCTAAACATTCCTAATACTGTGTAATGTTGAATGAGTTGTGTTTGCTATTTGACTGCAGTTCAATGCAACTGACAGCAATTTTAAATATCTAACTACTTTTTAATAGAAATATGGCATGCATTATAATTTTTTTCCTCTTAAATTATTAGCATTGTGACAGATTTGGATACAATTTTACATACCAATTTGAATTAACATAAACCAGGCTAATAACGTGCACTTGTGAGCAAATCTTTTGTTCCAGACTGAGGCAGAGCAGCTGAGCTAGAAACCAGGCAGACAAATGATGGAGTTATGAAGGGAAATCCCTTCTCCTTCTGCAGAGAAACAGCTGATATCTGAAGTTCCCTATTAATATGAAAGTTTCTACCCTCTAGCAGAGGAGCCTTTTGTGATCACTAGTCCAGAGTCTCAGCTGTATTTAAGTGTCTGATTCCTGTCAAAACTGCTCAAAGTATTAAGGATTACTTGCGATACCTTGCTTTTGCAGAGGGTTGTCATACCAAACTTTGTCAACATTTATTTATACTGTAGCCATTAAGTCGTGAGCAGTCCTTTCTGGGCTAAATTGGTAAATATGTCTATCTAGATCACAGTGATGAGCACTTTTGCC